GTCCATTTCTCCAGCTTTGTCATGTTGGTTAAGGTAAGTTTTCTCAAAGCTGGAAATGGTGTAATTGAATCTCCTCCGCCTTGGCTGTTGCTTGCCATGCTGCTACTTTGATGAGAAGACATTGTGCCTATCCTCCTCACATTTGGCATTGCCTTTATATTGAGAACCTTAAGCTCAGGTAAGAGTTCAAGGCACGAAATATCACCACATTCATCACAATCAATCAATTTCAACTTCACAAGTCTGTTAAGTTGAAAGGAAGCATGTGGACCACTGACATCCTTCTTCATCCATGAAGGACAGTTGCCTCCCCTATAATTCTCAATGGTTAAGCTTTCCAAATTTGAGTGAGGTCGAAGACCTTCCAGAACACCCATATCTTTGTCACTCTCGGCTCTGTTTTCACTCCATACAAATTGCAACTTGATCAATTTTTCTTTATCTTCAAGTCTCGCTTCACTAGCTTCTGATTGAGATACTAGCTCAAGCTTGCAAATTTTCAGTTTTCCTCTGAGTTGGTTCAAAGATTTAAGCTCTTCAATTCTCCGACCCTTTTTTGTGCCCACAACAAAAAGCGGTAGAGTCTGAAGAGAAGTTAATTTCCCAATGCTACTTGGCACATACCTTTCATCAAAATAAATATGCCTCAAGCTGACTAGATTTTCAATACCACTTGGGAGCTTTTCCAATGAATTGCAGCCGGTGAATCTTAAAGTCTGCAAATTGTAGAGCTTGGAGACAGATTTTGGTAGCCTTTCAATTGCACTGTCTGATATGTCAAGGTATTTCATGTAATATTTCAATCTGCCAAGAGAAGATTCCAACTCATTTGCATCAGCAGCTGCGAGCTTTAAAGATTGCAAACTTCTGAACTTCTTAGGCATCATGTGCAAAACATCATCATCCAAGAACAAAGAGTGCAACCTTTGAGGAACAACTTCTGGAACAGCTTTAAGGTTACCGTCAGACTGAACCCTCATATGCCGAACACTCTCCTCAACAGGATGAATATCCGGCCAAATATACGTTTCATATTTTGCTGAAAGCAATGAAAGATTATGCACCTCATCATGCATCGTGCAAAACTTTATATTCCCACACTCATCCATATCCACGTCTTCCAATAAGTAATTGGATACCAAATCATTGATGTACTTGTTACCAACATCTTCTTCTTTATCTGATTTGCTGTGGGAAAGAAACCCATTAGCCATCCAATGCTGAACTAATTCATCTCTACTAATTTTACAATTTTTTGGAAAAATTGAACAGAAGGAAAAGCATTTTTTCAAATGTGGAGGCAAGTGATCATAACTTTTTTGCAGTTGAGACAGAATCTCCCGTCTATGTGATGCACGCCATGATTTATTATCTCTGATATCTGACCACTGATTTACCCCAATACGAGTGCCCAAGTGTTCGCCAAAGACAGCTGCAACTAATGGCAAACCCCCACACTGTTCTGCAATATCTTTTCCAATAAGCACTAACTGTGGATCTTCTATTCGAGTTCTGTTGGACGATCTGAGAACATTCTCCTCCATTATCAACCAGCAGTCTTCATCTGATAGCTTTTGCAATTCATACTTGCGCCAAGAAACTGTGTCCATCATTAGTGAAGCTACCTCTTTATTACTAGTTGTTATGACAACTGAGATCCTAGCAGTTCTGAACCTTCGTGGCAGACAAGAGATGAAATCTTTCAACCACTGAGCATCTTTTTCATTCCATACACCATCAAGGATGAGAAGAACCTTTTTATTTTCTAACTCTGGTTTAAGACGATTAAGTATTGGATAGATACCTGTCATTCCACCAGCACGGATATCAAGATATTCCAACATCTGTCCTAAAATCATCTCTTCGTTAAAATCCTTATCGACCGGCACCAAGGCTGCCAGACTGGAGGGGTGCATTTCCATTGCCCTCACACATATTGATCTAGCTACTGTTGTCTTTCCAACACCTGGCATGCCAACTATGGAAAGGCCAGAGAGGCGATGTTCCTGGCTCAACTCATCCAGCAAACTTTCAATTTCAGAGACATCACCATCCCTTTGCAAAACATTAATCTCATCAGCTTCTCGCCTAGGAGCTTCACGATTTTGGTTGTGATCTATCAGTCTACTACAATCTAAATATTCTAAAATTTCAGCGAAAGATCCATTAATCTCCTTAATTTTGCTAGCCATGGATTTGGAGGGGGAAAGGAAATTGTGCACCTGTTTCTTGAATTGGCTTGGAATCCGACCTTTCTGCCGGTGAACTCCATATGCATCCTCATCCAGCAGAACCCGCAGATCATCAGCGGCATCTTGGAGCCTCTGCAGCCAATCCCTTGTGCGCTCATCACTTTGCATTTGATATGCATTTTTGAGGCGAGGTTCTATGAATTTGAGCTTCCACTGCAGCTTCTCCAGCTCCGCCTTCAAATCCCCTGAATTCCAGAATTGTCCGATTCTTCTGCCGAGCGGTGAAGCGACCCTAGAGAGTGCCTCCTCAATAACAGGGATAACGAGGAGGGCGATAACGGCATCAGCCATTATGTATGTAAGTGCAGACGTAGAGAAACGATTGCAAACACAATTTTAATTCTAATGAGAGGCGAGCGAGGAAAGGAGAGCAGCTTTGGAAGAGCAGCAACTCGTATTTAGATCGTGGTTTTGAACCTAATAATTAGGAGTGTTTGACTTTGATCGAACTTTTATTTTTGAGTTTTTGCAAGTTTTCTTTTGGTTAAAACCCCTTTTTGGTCTCTGAACTATTGTACGGATCTCTGATTTGGTCCCTGAACTAAAATAATTCCTGATTTGGTCCCTACTGTTTACCATTTTTACCCCGATTTGGTCCTTCCGTTAAAAATTGTGTGACGTGGCCTGTTATTTCACGGTTACCAATTGACATGTCATATAGTAATCCACGTGGAAGATAATATAGCCAAAAAGTGATGATGTGGAAAAAATAATAATATAAAAAAATATTATGAAAAATAAAATTTAAAATTTTTTTTCTTTTTTCTTTTTTCTTTCTCCTTCTCCTTTCCCTTTCCCTTTCTCCTTCCCCTTTCCCTTCTCTTTCCCCTCGAAACCCAGCAGGCCTGGGTTCCTTCGAACCCACCTAGGCGCTGGGTTCCTTGCGAACCCAGCATGCTTGCCCGGGTTGGGTTCCAAGGAACCCAAGCGCTGGGTTCCGTCGAACCCACGCCTGGGTTCTTTGGAACCCAGCGGCAAACCAGCTGGGTTCCATGGAACCCGACCTTGGGTTCCATCGAACCCATACCTGGGTTCGACGGAACCCAGGGGTAAAAAACATATATATTTTTTCTGTGGGTTTGGTGTTTGATGATGATGAAGAAAGCAAGGCAAAGAAGAGGAAGGAAAAAAAAAAGGGCATTGTTGGGTTCGATTCAACCTAGGTGCTGGGTTTGTTTGCTCGAGAAAGAAGATGATGGCAAATTTGTAATTTTGGTGGGCCCCACTTTTGTTGGGTTGGGCAAGGACATGACATGTCACGTTGCCATGTCATTATTTATTCATTTATACAACTGACGTGTCTCAAATGTTTGACATGTCATTAAATTGTCATGAGATAACGTTGAGATTTTAACGGAAGGACCAGGGTAAAAATGGTAAACAGTAGGGATCAAATCAGGGATTTTTTTATTTTAGGGACCAAATCGGGGGTCCGTACAATAGTTCAGGGACCAAAAAGGGGTTTTAACCTTTTCTTTTTTTGCTTTATAAAATTAAATTTAAGGAGAAAAAAATGAAAATTAAGATATTTTATACTTTAAATGTTAAAAGTTTTTATGACATTATTTAAATATTATTTAAAAAATATTTATTGCTCCCTTAAAAATATTATATTTTTTTATTATTAATTTTGATATTTTAATTATCAAGACATCTTGATTTTTTAATTTTAAATTTAAATTAGTTTTTTTAGATTATGCTTTTAATATACTTTTTGTCATAAA